CTTCTCTGTATTAGCTCACAGAGAAGCTGGCACTGGAGAAGGGATTTGGCCTGCTCATTGCAGACTCAAGCTCTTTTTTTTTTCTTTTTTTTTTTTTTTTTTTTGCCTCAAAGCTTCCTCCAGAGTCCCTGTCCTGGGTCAGGCTGGTCCCTGGACTTGGTGACAGGACAGAACAGCCTAGGAAAAAGGTATTGTGTACTGGAGAACAATTAAGAGCTAACCTATTCCCAATAGAGGCTACTGTTGGTTATCTCATGGTCTAAACATAAAGGTATTAACAATAAAAATAAGCTAACATGATGCTTATACATGGAAAAGATAAAAGAGACTCTGTCTAAAATCTCTCAATACTAACTCCAGCATCATAGCAATCTAAATTTCATTAGATGCTCTAAGCATCAACTTAATGATGATTACGATTGCTGTGGAATAACCCTTCCATACACTGTGAATATGTATTACTCTCATTGGTTAAGCTGACAGACTGGTAGTCAGGCAGGATAGCCAGACACAGAGGACTCTGAAAAGAAGGGTGGGGCAGAGTCTGGAGCAGACATAAAGGAAACAGAACGTGTAGAAAATGAGGTAACAAGCCATGAGCCCGTGCCAGAGGGTAAATAAGAAATACGGGTTAATTTAAATGTAAGAGTTAGCTAGTAATAAGCCTGTGCTATCAGCCAAGCATTTATAAGTAATATTAAGCCTCTGAGTGGTTATTTGGGAACTGGCAGGCAGGAGAGAAATGTTCATATGATAAATAGCTCTACATGCTGCATAAACCATAAAGGCTCCTTATGTTTCATATAAGGCTTACCTGGAAATTTACGAAGCCATCTAATGGCATAATAGTATGTCCACAGGTAATATCAAATTATTGCTTTAGCCTATGTTTGTAATTTGGACTCAACCTTTTTTATTTATTTTTAGGTTTTGAGACAGGATCTCTCCCTATAGTCTTGACTGGCCTGGAACTCTGTAGACCAGGCTAGCCTCAAACTCAGAGATCTGCCTGCCTCTGCCTCCCAAGTGCTGGCCTTAAAGGCATGAGCCACCATACCACTGTGTTCCAGTTCAACCTTCTTTTAGTAAGAAGGTTTTTATTGGTCCCTCACCTGCATCACTGCCCTACCTAGTTATATGCAGTCAGGCCCCACTAGCACAAGACCTAAGTTTTCTGGGTAAGTCAGGTATGTATACTAGAAAAACTAGTGAGAGAGGTGCATGGGCTCTCATGCAGCGGTGGGAAAGCTGTTATAGAAAGTCCCAATGAACCCAATGAAAACAGACATTGCCTAGTACCACCCACCCACAACAAACGGTAAACTTGTCAATGTTATATCTCATGATATTTAAATTTTTTAATTATTTAATCAAGGGCATTTATATGTATAGGTTAAGATGGCTGAAGTTCCCGGGTTTATTGTCTAAAGCCACAATTACAGATATTTAGTTGCCTGAGTACCCTTTCTGTTTGTTCTTGCTTACTAATTAACCATCCACGGTTACCGATAACCTCTGAAGCTTACTGAGATGTAAACTTTCTCTCGGGATCAATGAGCCTTGAGACAATAGAATGACATAGATCGCAAAGCTTGGTGGCCCAGCTGCAGCCAGGTCTGAGCAACTGTGGCAAAACACGTTGGAAAGGAGCCCAGGATCCAGCCCAGATGCAGAGCATTCACCCTGGCTGTTAGGTGGAACTCCCTCTGTAGACCAGGCTGGCCTCGAACTCACGGAGTTCCTCCTGCCTCTGCCTCCCAAGTGCTGGGATTAAAGGTGTGCACCACCACCGCCCAGCTTCTTCTTTTTTTTAACTTAACTACGTGCAATGGTGTTTGCCTGCATATGTACATGAGGGTATCAGATCCCCTGGAACTAGAGTTACAGACAGTTGTGAGCTGCCGTGTGGGTGCTAGGAATTGAATCCAGGTTCTGTGGAAGAGCAGTCAGTGCTCTTCACCGCTGAGCCATCTCTGTAGCCCTTGGATTCGATCTCTAATGCGCAGAAAAACAAATGATAAAAAATATTAAAGTTTTTAGTTGGTTCCATAACATGATGGATCCCCAGGGCTGAACTTGACAGCTCAGTTAAAGGCTGAAGTCAAGTTTCTATGAATGTTGACCCAGTGCTCACCCAGCTTCGGCTCCAGTGCCCTGGAGTTTGATGTGTGGTTAGAAAAGGGATGGTGGAAGGGAGGGGAGCCTGGAAAGGTGCCAGGAATCAGGTGTACCTGACGTGAGCGGCTGCAGTAGAAGAGGCTCAGCTGCCACTGGGCCACTAGTCTCGGTGCCCACAGACTTCTCCCTCACAAGGCAGGAATATTCTCAGTCCTTGAGTGTTTACTGGGGCCAGGGCAGGAGGGAATTTAAAACTGTGGCAAAACACAAATGATGTTAGAATTACCTTAACTATGTGTGTGTGCTTCAGTGGTGCTAGTGGCTTTGAATTTTCTAACCAGTCTTTGCATCTCCATGTCTTGGAACTGAATCCATTCACGGACACTTCTTTATCTGAGTCCCATCCTGCTCCTGTAGCTGCGACTTGTTTGCTTGCATAACTGAAGTTCTGTTTGACTTTTTGTGACTTGCTTACTTCACTTTTCCTGTCCTTATGCTGACCCATGGGATAGCATCTATGGGTCCGGTGGTGGCTTGAATGGGGATGGCCCCAAAGGCTTACATATCTTATATATTTGAGTGCTTAGTTTGTTTGAGGCACTGTTTGAGGCCAGTCTTATTGGAGTAGGTGTGGTCTTGTGGAGAAAGTATGCCACTGGAATTATACTAGTTCCCCCCCCCCTCCCACTTGCTGCTAACGGAGCAGGACATAAAGCTTCTAGCTACTGCTCCATGTACACACCAGTCTTGTGTGTCACCGTGCGCCCTGCCATGATAATGGACTAATAAGTCTGTGAAACTGTAAACCAACCCCCAATTAAATGCTTTTTTTTTTTTTAAAATAAGAGTGACCTTGGTCATGGCGTCTCTTCACAGCAGCAGAACACCAGCTTCCTTCTACCAAGGCTGATTTCCCATTGTATGTTCATGCTGTGTTTAACTGCCCTGCTGCTGTGAAGCACACGGGTCCCATCTGTAAGGAACGACACCGTGCACACAGGTGTTCACATTCTTTCTAGAGCACACTCCTGGTCTTCCGGCTACATCCCAAGTGAGACTGTTGGTTAGATGCTGATTGGGTTTAAACTGGGGAAGAATCCATCAGCTTTCAGTTTTTTTAGAGCAGACTTGGATTCCCGGTTCTCATGTGTGTTGCCATGTCTGGCTTATGTATAATTTTTCAAAGATTTGTTTTTAATCAGGTGTATGCACATGTGTAAGCAGATACCTGCAGTGGCCGGAAGACATGGATCCCATGAGTACCAGGTAAGAGCAGTAAGTGTTTTCGACCACTGAGCCTCCTCCCCAGTCCCGTTCTTTCAAGGTTTTTGCTATAGAGATCTTCTACCTCCTCCGTTTTGAGTAGGACTCAACTATTATACAGAAGTTATGATCTACATAGAAGTTAGATCTTTGTATGCTGTTTACCAGACCTGTTTTCAAATGTGGTCTTCTAATTATAAGATCTGATCATTTATAAATAGACACTTTGACTTATTCCCTCGTCATATCCCTTTATTTCTCTTAATGCTCCCTCTCGCTTGACCCTCTAATAGAGGGTCTGACTGTGTAGACCAGGATGACCTGGAACTCACAGAGATCCTGCCTCTGCCTCCTGGATGCTGGGATTAAAGGTGAGTGCCACCATCCCAGCTTTATTATATTTACCCCTAACATTTACCTAATTTTGTTTACATATTTCATCATTAGGCAATCTTGTTATCTTTCTTTTTGTGTGTATGTGTATGTAACTACATGCAAATGAGTGTAGGCGCCAAGGAGGTCAGAAGGTGGCATTGGATTCCCCCAGAACTGCAGCTGACAACTGTGAACCATGTGGGTGCTGGGAACCAAACGTAGGTCTTGCACAAGAGCAGCCAGTGCTCTCTTTCCACTAAGCCTCAGTCCTGGGAACCATTCTCACACACGTTAGGTCACTTGGCGGCAGCTGGAACTGGAGTTTGTCCTGGTTTTACTTTTTAAAATCAGATTGTGGGGGAGGCATGGGCGTAGAATGGTGTTCTGTGGAGGTCAGAGGGCAGGAATTCACTCTCAGGTCTACTATCTGTATCCCGGGGCTCACGCTCAGGGCATCAGCTGTACCCACTGTGCCATCTTGCCACTGAAGACCTTCATTTGAAGTGAACTCTTTCAGTGTCTTAGGACATAGAGGACAAGTTATTAAAGCTTGTTAACAAATGTTTCTTTAAAAAAATCTTCTTTCTTATTTAAGGAATTCCGTGTGACAGCTCTGAACCCACCTGACCCATGCGCCCTTGGCTCCTGCAGGGCTCCCATTAAAATGACACCGTGGACCTGTATCACAGGGCATTTAGCTATCTTGCTAGTTCCTACCGCCAGGTTCACTGTCATCCTTCCTGAAGCCATCAAGTCAAGGCTTCCATACTGATGCCATTCCAACAGGATGCTTTGACGGGATTAAGGAGACGCTGTTGCCGGAGATGTGTCAAGCCTGGTGACCTGAGCTCCACGAGTCCAGGTAAGGTCTGTCCTCTGACACGTTCTTACTGTCCCTCAGAGGCTGAGGCAGGAGGATTAGTTGGTGTAGGAGTTTCAGGCCAACCTGGTCTACACAGCACGTTCCAGGCCAGCAAAGACTACGTAGTGAAACCCACTTTAAAAAGATTACAGACTTTGAACTTTCTTTGGAGCAGAGTCTTGAAGGCTGGCATGAGGCATGAACAGAGTTATCCTGACACAGCCTCTCAGACGAGAGGATTTCATGGTCTCACCCAGCTTACAAACAAGAATCCTCTTAAAGGAAAGGATGATGAGTTGTCTGTACCCATGGATTGCCACTGGAGAGGGAGTAATGCTGAAAGGTTCTATGTAAGTTCATTAAAAGAAAGGAAAAATCCAAACCAAGACTAAAAGAAAACATTTATTGAATCAAAATCAATACTTTCTTTTTAATATCTACAAGCCAACAGTGAGCTCACTTTATTCAAGAATGAACACAATGTACAAAAAAAGTATGCTTCTATTATAAAAATACGTCCATCTTCTCTCCCGGTGCTGAGCAGAAGTCACTGAGCACATGGAGGCCGCTCTACACCACCCACGGGGAAGCCAACGGACAAAACTCCCCAGGCCCACTGGAGAAGCCACGCCCAGCACGTTGTTGCTACCAGAATCCACGTGGTGCTTACAAGTTGTTACCATGTATTTCAGAAAAGTATTAACAATATAATAAATTCTGGGTACAAAATCCTATTAGCTCCAATTTAAAAATGAGATGTGTTACTATGAGGGAACAAATGAGTTCCCAAGGTTTACAATCCCAGGTAGGGAGGTGCGAAGGTGGCCTCCCTGCATCCTTAAGCCTCCATAGAAAACCATCATGTACGAGGTTAGTTACCATGTACATTCTCTTGACTTTACTGGAACCTTCCAGGGCACCTGGCTGGTGCGCTGTGTACAGTGTCACTGTGGTGAGAAGAGGTCTGAGACAGCTGCAGGACCAGCACAGGCTCCGCAGCCTTTGGCTTATTAACGACTGGCCTTGGAGCAGCAGAATGATGGGGGAGGGGACAATGGCTCCCTGTGCTGTCCCCATCCGTCAGTGCTGAAGATGCCAGGAAATCCCTGTCTGTCCTACAGAAAGTTTGCACACAGCAGTGCCCTAGCAGGAGCTTCACCCTGCCTAAGCAAAATGACAAACTCAAGAGTGCAGTGTCCACGAGGTGAGTTAAAGACAACAGTGAACTAAATGTTTCTCCTTGACAGGTTCTCTCTGTGCTGGGGACTGACACCTATGAATGGTAAGAATAGAAAATCAAAGGATCAGGTCATCCAGTGTCCCACCCTACTGTAAGTTAACTTGAGAAGAAATGCAGGAGAAATGTGTTGGTTTTGCTTGCACTGGTCTCCTGGCTCCTCAGGCAGCATTCTCAGAACGGGACAGACGAAGGCAGAAGGCAGAAATGATGACAGTTTCTCTAGACAAGGACCTAACTGCCTTCAGCACTGTGATTTCAGTTATGCTCATCTTCCGAATGCATGCTCAGCTATCAAAGGCAGTTAGACAGGAACATGGGCCACAGGGCCCAGCTAACTACACCTAACTGGGAAGAGGGACAGAACAGGACCTGAGCAAAGGCCTCCTGCGAACCACAGAAAGTCACTGTGAGGGCTGCTCACTGTCAGTGAATCAGCCAGGCAGCAGGTTGCTGTTGGAGGCTGCCATTGCCTCCCTAGTAAGTGGAACACTGGAAGGCCAAGGGCTCTGCAAGTCAGAGCTGGTAGCAGAGGCCAGAATTTTAACAGAAAAAGACAGTACACACAGAGTGAAGAGCTAACAGGACAAAGATGCCAGGAAACTGGATGGGCTTCACCACAACACTCAGATACACAACTATCTGTTCACAATCACAGGTCCTTACACACCAAATAAATACACCGAACATTTACAGCCACTCGACTGCCTTTGGAACACAGGCTTCTATCGCTGCTCTAACGAGACCAGAGCCCAGGGGTGATTATCTATAAAGAGCACCCTCAGGCCGCTCAGGCCAGTCTGGCATCCTGTGGGTCCCCTCTGAGCAGCACCACAGAGTGTGCGGATACGGGCTCAAGTCTCCAACAGACGAAAAGGACTACTGTGCTTGTGGGCCTCACACCTTCAAAATATCCATAAAGAGTGGTGGCAGCTGCAGGCCTCTGCTCACCAGGGGAACATAAGGCGGAGGGGCTGGAGGCGCAATGAAAAGGTTTAAAATGGGAAAATGATAAAACAGTGCTAGCAGTCACAAAAAGACCATGCTAAGATCCGATCCATGTCGATTAAACATTGAAAATTCAGCTACGATCCAAAGAACTCTGTCAGAGTCCAGGCATGCAGGCCGCTGATGCTGCCTTCCTCAGAGCAGGAACGTCTTGCTGGAGATCACAGGGGTGAACAGGTTGCCGCCACGCTTCTTTTTAATAATTAAAATAAAGGAAATCCAATCACAAGACAAAAATAGAACTGTGGACAGAAAAAATACAGAAATTCTGACCTATAAAAGAAAAATTCAGATTATTACTTTTTGGGTTTTTTGTTTGTTTTATATACAGGGTCTCTCTACGTAGCCCAGGCTGGCCTTGAACTCACAAATCCTCCCACGTGCTGGGATTAAAGGCATGAGCCATCTGACCAAAAATTAAAATTATTTTTACCCTCTTAGGTAAATCCTTCTTTTAAGTAGTCTTTTTATCTTTCATGAGCTTATAGTAAAATCATGAGGCTGGCGTGCACAGTATCAGTGCTTCTGCCAAGAGGACACACAGCATCGTGTCACAGAGACACAGGCTGAAGCCTGCTCTCCCCAGATGCTGCCTGCTCCTCAAGGCCTCCCGATAGGAGAAAGCTGGACATCTAAACCTAAAATGGAGCATGAGCCCAGGACACAAAGATCATCCGACTAAGACTTAACTAAGGCTCGCCCAGTTGTGAGGTACTCACGGGTGATGGGACCAGGGCTATCCTGCCTTCGTGTCCACAAGCTGCATCTGCACGCTGGCAGGCATGCCGCCTCCATAGCCTCCCTTGGATTGCATCTGATTCTGAATGGAGCTGACCTAAAACAGAAAGGGACAAAAGAGGCTCAGCAGGACCAGGCGGTCAAGGGAGTGATTCCCCCCCCCCCCTTTCCCGTCTCCAGGATGTGTATGCAGGCAAAGTACAAACCCATCCTCAGACACCTCAGCTTTTTCCGTCAGAGGGCAAATGGTGAGGCCAGCATGGAATGATTTGTTGTTGCTTGGCATTTTTTTTTTCTGTTTGTTTTTGGTTTTCCCCCAGGCAAGATTTCCTGTAGCCCAAGCTGGCCTTCAACTTGTGGTTGTACCGCCTCAGCCACTCATTCTGATGCAGAACCCTAGTAGATTGGCATCTTAGCCACCTTCCCTTCATCAAAGACACACCACAGGCATGTTTTTAATCCTGTCAGCCTCTGCTCTGTGGTGAAACCAGAGGCACGTTCTCGTGGACTGCACGGTATTGGAGCAAATGCAAACGCCATCTTTTAGTTTGTCACCGCCATTCCAGCCAAGTTCCTCTAAATTAGAGTGAGTCAGGTCACCCTGCTGGAAGGAGGAACCCAAGCAGGAAGTTTGGAGGTGACACCCATTGATGACTCCCCCAGAATGGTGGGGACCATGAAAGTCACTTCCCAGAGCTGAGACTTGGGGAAGCACTGTGGATTCCTGGACCATGTTCATAAATCAGTTTACTGAGTGCTACTGAGCACTTACTGGGGCACAAAGGAAGCATGGGCCCTTTTCTCTAGTATCCTAAATCAATATTTCATGTTTAAGGAAAGTAATGAGGCTTGCCTAAGTTATTTCTGGAGTAAAAGGTTTAAATATGCTAGAAGAGAACATACGGGTGCTTCAGGACTCCGCCTTACAGGCCCCACTTCCGTTACTCTGGGACATGGACTTCCGTGGAGCACTGCACACACTACCCCTGAACACCTGTGCTCACCACTGTCCCTCAGCCCCTAGCAGTCTGTAGCCGATGTGCGCACAGGCTCCACAGATGCCCCAGGCCCACCTGCTCAAGACTTGCAAACTCATAAAGCACACAAGTCTAAGAAGAAAAAGATGTGTTTCCTCAAGCAAAGCAGCAATTCTGCAGTGTCAAACTGAAGGGTCAGAATCTCCTAATAATCAACTTATCAGTGCTGAGAGCAGTCACATGACTGCAGGTGTTACCTACCGTGTTTTAAAACTACTGCTAAAGGCTCACCCAACTCTTTGCAGCAAGAAGTTGAAATTAAAAAAAAAAAAAAATTTAAAAGAATTAAATAAATAAATAAATAAATAAGAAGTTGAAATTAAAAAGTTTGCAGGTAGGGCAGTCCATACCTGTAAACACAGCACCAATACATCAAAAGTAAGTAAATCAAAGCTGGACAGATGGCTCAGGGGTTAAGAGCACTGGCTGCTCTTCCAGAGGACCCAGGTTCAATTCTTAGCACCCACATGGCAGCTCATGCCTGTTTGTAACTTTCATTCCAGGGATCTGACACCCTCATATAGACATACATGCATGCAAAACACCAATGCACAGAAAATAAAAATATATTTCATATATACATAAAATTAATTTTTGTATATAATATATGCATACATTTACATATGTTTATATGTATAATTATATATGTTTATTTAAGTAAGTCAATAAAGCAGGCTTGGGAAGAGCCGTGTGTTCAGTGGGTCCATCAGTGATACAGTGCAGGCCAGGGAAGCACCTGTACACAGGAGCCTGCTCCAGTTTCAGAACACAGATGGGGTGGGAATGTTTGTCTGGGTAAATAACATTGCTATTCATGGTTCTGTCTTGTTGTCACTACTCATACAAGAAAACACAGTTTCTCTCACAGTCAATAAGAACTCAGCATTCTGCAGGGAAACAGCAGGCTCATTCAATGAAACCAGTACCAAAAAGGGACATACTGGTTCTACAGAAAGAACATCAGTCCCAGAGAAGACTCTAGGGGCTTGCAGGGCGGACCCTGCCGCCACCTGATGCTGTCAGCACAAGGGGCTCCACCTGAGCTGGAGCAAGCAGCAGACCTAAGGACGCTTTCCAACAGCAGGGTGCTGAGATGGATTTTAAAGAAAAACAAGGGTTACCAAACACCAGAGCTAAATTTAATCATATGAAGTAGCTAAGTAATGTGTTAGCAGCCACACAGCCTGAGGCAGCAATCCAAGTTCAAGACCAGCTCAGTCTCCATTTCTAGAACCTGTCTCAAAAAAGATCAATTCTCAAGTGAAGATACTTATTGGTGAGAAAAAATAATAATGAGCATCTGATAAATATGCACACCACCCAGAGAGGATCACAGTCCTGTGCTGTCTCCTCCCTGCTCTCCAGCACACGGGCAGCTGTCCCTCTGGACACTGTGACACTCAACAAGGCAGTCAGCAAAACAAGGCCTTTCACAGACTGATAACGGGAGCGACAATCAGCTCCCTTGTTTTCTAGTCACTGAGGGACAAGGGGTTTGCATGTACCAGACACTCATTACCCACTCTATGCCCAGTTCTGTTGATCCTGGCTGGGAAGTTTGAACACAACTGTGACAGACCGAAAGAAAATGGCCTGGCACTATTAGGAAGTGTGTCACTGGGAGTGGGCTTTGAGGTCTCGGATGCTCAAGCCTGGCCAGTGTTGTCTCAGTTTCTCTTCCTGATCTAGAAGTAGAACTCTCAGCTCCCTCTCCAGTACCACGTCTGCCTGCATGCGGCCTGCCATGATGACAATGGACTAAACCTCTGAACTGTAAGCTGAACCACAATTCAATGTCTTCCTTTATAAGAGTTGTCATGGTTATGGTGTCTCTTCACAGCAACAGAAACCCTAGGTAAGACAACATCTTACCTAGGGTTTCTGCTTCTACAACACTGTCAGTCGAGTAACACCGGGGTCCTCCTTGGTACCCTTAGACGAACACTACAGAAGAGTCCAGATGAGAGAACTGATCTACTCGGGCATGCACTAAATCTCTCTATGTATACAGCAGTTCTCCATCATTTCAGGTACTTTATTACCAAGGGCCCGACATGGCAAATGTCTGCTGCCCTGAAGAGATGTGTGCAAATCCCAACGATCTGCTTAGCAGGAAAGACCTCCACTACAGAAGCCAACACCTCCAGCATTCTAACGTCTTCCTTCAGGGAAAACTGACATTTTATGGAGTAAATGTGGGGCTGGAACAGAGCAAGCAAGATGTGACTGCCTTGCCAAAAAAGGTACCAAGCCACGTGGCTAACACAGACAAGAATAATGGGCTAATATAAGTCGTAAGTGTTAATAAGAAGCCTGAGCTAATGGGCCAGTTTATAGTTTTTAAAAAAATGTGGGGCTGGAGAGATGGCTCAGTGGTTAAGGGTGATATAGTTCTTGCAGAGGACCCAAGCTCTGCTCCGAGGACCCAACCATGTCAGGTGGCTTCCTGTAACTCCAGCTCCAGGGGATCACACTCCCTCCTCCTGGCCTCTGCTCATGTGTGACACATGCATACAAACACATACACAATAACTAAATCTTTAAAAGAGTATGTAAAAAGCAGTTCACAACCAGAGGGTAAATATTAATATTTATTATAATATATAATATTAATATTTACCTATTTGGTTTTTAGAGACAGAGTCTCTATGCAGCCCTGGCTGTCCTGGAATTCACTATGTAGACCAGGCTGGCCTCTAAACTCAGAGATTCTCCTTCTGAGCACTGGGGTTAAACACTGATTTCAAAGCTCACCTGGGAGTCCCATGGCGCGATAAGAACCAATCATTAACTAACCCATTCCAAATCTAAGATGTATGTTCACACTGAGTGTGGCTGTTCCTGCATGACGTAGCCTGACTTTTGCATATCAGCTAGCACATTTCCCATGAATATTAAGTCATCTGTATTCTATTTAGTAGCATATTTAATACAGTGTCAATATATACAAGCAACTGCTAGACAACTAGATGATATTGCTAGGGAGTGACAGCAGGAAAGGTCTGTGTAGGCAATTTTGTTTTCAATCTGAATGGCATAATCTAGTTCCAAACTCACTTGACATGATGTTATTAAAAGGGGCACAAGTTTAAAAAAATCATTTCAAAGGTTTGAGTCTGTCAAGACAGATACCCCTGGGCCATGTCCCACCAACACACTTACTGAGTTCATCCCACTAAACAGGTCTCCGGATCCTACATGAGCTGTGTGCACAAAGTTGGTTGGCTCTCCAATCATACTTCGGTCAATCCGTCGTCGCCTTTTCTAAAATATGAGAAATAACATATTAAGAAAATGGTCTTCTTCCACAGCAGTCTGAAAAGCCAATCCTCATACTAATTTCTCTCTTAAGGATGAGTACTCAAGATGGCTTGACCGAGCTTGTCATGCACGTCACAAAACCTGTGTATGGAATCCGTGGTGGAGAGAACCAAATCCCAAAGGCTGCCCTTTGACTCCCCGTGATGCTGCAATGTACGCAGACACACAAATACAGCTTTATCTGAAGGAGCATCTGGAAACTTTAGCATAGAGCAGTAAGTAATAAATTTACTTACTAATATTAATTTGTTATATTAATATATGTGTATATGAATAATATAACAATAAGGTAATTATTAATACATAAATATATTAACAACATAATAATATGGTAACATGTACCTGCAACCCCAACACTGAGAAGGCTGGGCCAAAAGGACCTTTGGTTTGAGGCCAGCCTGGGCTACGTTATGAGATCTTTTCAAAAACAAAACTAAAAAAATAGTTTTGCTTTTTTTTTTTTTTTTTTAAGACAGGGTCTCTCGTGGCCCAGATGGGCTTTCAGCTCCTGACCATCCTGCCTCTCTCCCAATTCCGAGATTAAAGGCATTCACTGCCATAACTAGTTGAAATAACAGATGTTTGAGGAAATATTTTATCTGTCTGCACACCATACATATAAACACCAAATATCGTATAACACCATTAATATGTATGTTTATGTCAGAAATAACTTATACGACAAATTTAAAATTACCCTCACCATTAACCAAGAACATGTGTGACTTGACCACAGTGCTCTTGACTTTAAACACAACTTTCCAGCTCTATAACAAGTTGGTTATACTCTGGCGTCATTACTTGGGTACCCTAACCCTTCCACACTGGAATAAATCTGTCATTCAGCTGGCTTACGGGTGAGGGTCAGCGTTAGTTCTGGTCCATTTACAGCATGGTGACTGACGCCATGCCCAAACTCAACTGACTAAGTTGGCTGGTCAGCAAGCTTCAAGGATCTTCTTCATTCTTTCCCTGGGTTAGCAGATATGCATGGCTTTTTATGTGTGTGTTGGGAATCCAAACACAGATAATTAGGCTGGAGAGATGGCTCAGCAGTTAAAAGCACTGGCTGCTCTTGCAGAGGACCTGGGTTCTATTCCCAGCACCCACAGCTCACAGCTCTGTGTAATTCCAGTTTCAGGGGCTCCAACATCCTCTTCTGGCCTCAAGAACCTGCACACACACAAGATGCAAGTCACACATGTGCACGCGCACACACACACACACAACAATTCAACCTCCAAACCTAAAGGGCTCCTCTGCACAGCAAGCATTCCAAGTCTTACTTAACAAGGAGGCCTTGGCCTCCTCATCGACTGCAGCTCCAGAGTAGAGCAGTAATAACCGTCACTGCTATGGGGAGGCCTTGCCGGGGCACCTGTGGGGATCAGAGAACGACTGTGGGGTCTGTTCTCTCCTATCTCTAAACGGGTTCTGGGGCTTGAACTCAGGTCACTGGGCCTGCATGGCAAGCACCTTGACCCACTAAGCCATTTTTTCCCTGGTCCTTAGGATGGTTTTTCAGGAGCTCACTCTCAGATGTCACTGGCGTGTGCTAAGCCTCTGTGAATACCTGCAGAGCGGCCTTTAACACGGTAGGCCACACTCTCACCTGTCTTTTTCTGTATTGTTAGACAGGTCTCGCCTGAGTCCTGGCAATCCTGGAACTCCTTATGTACACAGGGCCCCAAACTCAGAGATCCCCCCACTGTGCCTCCCAAAGACTGGGATTAAAAGTGTGTGTCACCACACCCAGGTCATTCGTGCTTTATTTCTCTAAATTTAACCTCCAGGCCTGTAGTAGAAGTATCCTTACTCAAGATTTAGATTTAAAAGGTAACAAAAAGCCAAGAGAGGGGCCAGACCCTGTGTCTACACGTTGCTCATCCAATTCCAGTCTGTCTGTCTGCTCCACCACGTTCACCCTACTTCCCTCCCACTGTTCCTGTTTGAGGCAATAGAGCATGGTTCTGTAAAAGAGCCTTTGAACCAAAGCAAAAGAGGATATGGAATGGCCTCGTTCCCCTTTTCTTTTTGCTATTAACTATTAAATTTTCATTAAATCTGCCTTCAGAAGCTGTTCTTTCTGGTTCACCCACCTAGACATACTTCAAATCCAGATCAGTTTCCCAGCATCTTAAGTGAACCGATTACCAGCGAAGGCAGAGACGGGGCGTCTAGGTTCTTGGCAAACATCGTCACGAGGAGAAGAGGGCAGCAGCTGTGTCCCTTGGTGCAGTGGGCTTGTAGGAACGGGGTCTCTCCCAAGGTTTCACAGGAACCACACTTCTAGGAGCAACTGCCTCTGCTGTGAGCGCAGCCGCTAGACAGAGATCTGGTGCTCTGGAGTCACTCCTTCCAGACATCCCTAGGTTCTAGCACCCTGCCCTCAAGACCTTCTCTATGACCACCAAACACTCGCATGCTTGGAAGGGACCACACATGGCCCCCACCCCAACCAAGTGACTCACTCCAGCTGCTGGGTGACTAAGGCATGGGGGGGGGGCAGCGGCTCAGTGCCCTCCAGCACATTCAAGTCCTAAGGCAGGATGCGGACATGGACACTCCACAGGGCCACTCTCACACAAAGCAAGGTGGGAAGCTGCCAGCGCACTCTTTTCACAAAGGCACATGCTGTCCACAGAGTCCTAGGATGTGAGGGCCCAGGAGGCGATGAAGAAGGAGGAGGGTTGGGGAGCAAGCACAGGAGCCCACACCAGTCAACACAAGTGAGCACAGCCGTCCTCTGTTCCTTCTCCACGCAGTCACTTCGTGTCTCTGGATGTTTCCCGGGGGCTCACAGAAAAGGACTCCTACGGTGTGAGCTTCCCTTGGCTCCATGCAGTTATCTTGGGAGCGGCGACTGTCACAGCATATACCAATAGTCACTCCTTAATCACAGGATTCTGATAGCTTATACTGCAACAAACCAAAATAAATCTGAACTCCTCACTACCATATCTCAGCTGACTTTCCCCATTGTCCCAGAAATAAATTGTTAAAGTTCCACAGAGTGTATGAAGAAATACGTTTTTACAATTGTACAGAGCCCACGATGGCAAAGCTCACAGGTAACAAGACCTTCTGTGTTTACTCCAAAGTACTCCATTACTGACGCTCTATGATGTAATGCTGCAGAAAGTCCAAGGAAAAACTTTTGCCTCATCACCTCTACTCTAGGCACAACTGTTCACGTTTGTAGCTCTGACCTCTGACCTCATGCAGAATGAAAAGCATTTTGAGTACTGCAGGGATTACTTGGATGGCTGGCAGCTAACGACGTGTTCTGTAAGAGTGAAGTGTTCCAGGAAGCACAGTGACTCTACTCAAAACCTACACAGCGGGGCTGAGAGCGCCCTCTCAAGCTTCCTGTTTTGCTTTGCTGAGGCCCAGCTCTGGAATTCCCCTGGCTGCTGACACTCCATCTATGTTTGTCTTGAATTTTTAAAACTCTGCACTTTGAAAAGTGTGCTGTTCCTTAGGGAAAAAAAAAAGTTCACTTTATGCCTGAAAAATACTGTGTGGTTGGTAGTTGACGCGGGGAGGGGATCCTTCTGTATAGTCCTGGCTGCCCTGGAATTTGCAGTCCTCCTGCCTCAGCCTCCTCAGTACACCTGACTTTGTAGTTAGGAGATTTATACTCAGCCTGGCTGCCAGCAGCTCCACCCTGCCTCAGGTCTCTAGATCCTTATAGCAAAGAAAATCTCCCCTCTCCACTGCCAGATTTTCCTTTTAAAAGATGAGCATGATGAAGTTGCTCCTCTCTTAACAGAAACATCCAATCTGTCCTCTTCCTGTGAAGAGAGCTGGGCCCTCAGCTGGGATTTCTTGTGCATATTTTCTTCAGTGACTCATTACTAACTGAGCAAACCAGGCTGGCCTTGAACCTGTGGGCCTCTCCCTACTCCCACCTTTGGGAGCAGGGGAATGTTCTTACTATGTGTTAATATTACAGATGGAAAGATTCATTAAAAATATTTTAATGATGTATGTCTGTGTATGCATGTATTTATAAACGTGTAAACAAGTACCCAGAGGACAGAAGAGGATATGAAATCATGTGGAACTGGGTTATAGGTCATCCATCGTGAGCTGCCCAACTTGGGTGGTAGGAACTGAACTGAGATCCTCTGAAAGAATAGCCAGTACTCTTAATTAAATCAATGTATTATTAATTTTGGATAAGTAAAACTCTAACAATCTTCAGTTACAGAAAATGTGTGCCATAAGTATTTCATCCTAAACTTTATCAGCCTGTTACTCTTTTTTCTTTTTTTTTTTTTTTTTCAACACAGAATTCCTCTGGGTAGCCTTCGCTGTCCTGGAACTCACTTGTAGACCAGGTTGGCCTCAAACTCAGAGATGCACTTGCCTCCGCCTCTGAGTGCTGGGAATAAAGGCGTGCGCCACTACCTGGCCCTGTTACTGATTTAAAAGGAATGAAATGGAAGTTTTTTGCTTGTGTATCAAAGTCACATAGAGTCAGAACCCGACCACAGTAACCTCAAAGGCCTGATTCTCCATTCTTGCAGGTTCACAAACTCCAAGAATTAAAAAAAAGAAAATTAATTCTATACTATTGGTGTTGGAGAAGCAACTTCACTTTGTCCATTTACAAATTCACAACCAAGAAAGGCAAAGACTTTCATGCCCTCACACAACGGAACTTGTAACTGCAGACTGTTTTTTCCTAAACACAACAATCTCCCAGATGTGGTCAGATGATTTATAAACAATAAGGTCTTTTGAGCAATGTTTTACTTATGAAAGCTGCCAGTTAGCATGAGCTCTTCACGCGGCCTGCAGCTAGAGGACCACAGTATGACGTCAGGCACAGGGAAATAAAGCTGGCACTTATTTGCCAACTCTTTTTCTTAATTATTTGAAAACAACAGTTGTTTTTCTTCTCATTCACCAAAAAGGGTTTTCTGACTTTTCATGGT